GCATTGCATCGAGTGCGGGCGTGACCTCTTGCGAGCGTTTACCAGGCAACTTTTAATGATACCCCGTTTCACCAATTTTGAATGAGCTGAGTGGAAAGGTAAAAGGGGTTTACCACTTCTCGGTGAAAACAGCCAGCAGAAATGATTACTCCTAAAACAGAGTGTTAGGTCTAAGAACCTAATCGAATTTCCAGACGGTAACTCATGAGTAAGTTCAAGAGGATACAAGTGCTTCTTAAACAAATCTAGAAGACCAAGGACAAAAATTTCAAAAACAGTATCCAAACATTCAATGAATACAATGAAATCATCAACAAACCTACAGACCTTCTCAACGAGAGACAAGTCGAGATCTTTTTGAATGTGGCGATCCTTATGCGCGAGAAAGATGTCACTCAGGACTGGTGCCAAACAGGAACCTATGCAAACGCCGCTTTTTTTAATTAAATGTTGCTCATTCCAAGACGCAACTGTTGACTTTAAATAAAATGAAAGCAATTCCAGAAAACCATGAACTGGCATACCTGACGCATTCTGGAAGTTTATCGACCCAAACGAATCAATGCATTCTTGGTTTACAGCGTGTTAAAACGTCCACACCATCAGAAACACACCTGTTCATTTCGCTGTCTGGGGTGATCGTTGGTGATGTTGAACTTCCTGAGAAAGTCCATGATGTTTTGGGACTTTGACCAAAGTTTGCTGTTGACCCTCGAAAAACGCCACAAGAGCTACTGACCCTCGTTTGACAAGTTGCTCGACGCACCCCGGACAGCAAAATGAACAGGTGTGTTTCGGCTTAACCGAAACAGCTTAACCTTTTAACCATTGACGATCCTTCTCTGGTAAAAGACTCAGAGGCGGTTATTAAGTTTTTAAGGTCTAATGACAAAGGACTGAATGCTTTCTCGATAGACGTGAAAGATCTATATTATTCACTTCCCCATAACGCACTGCTCCAGTGCTTAGAAGAATGAATTGATTCGTTTGGGTCGATAAACTTCCAGAATGCGTCAGGTATGCCAGTTCATGGTTTTCTGGAATTGCTTTCATTTTATTTAAAGTCAACAGTTGCGTCTTGGAATGAGCAACATTTAATTAAAAAAAGCGGCGTTTGCATAGGTTCCTGTTTGGCACCAGTCCTGAGTGACATCTTTCTCGCGCATAAGGATCGCCACATTCAAAAAGATCTCGACTTGTCTCTCGTTGAGAAGGTCTGTAGGTTTGTTGATGATTTCATTGTATTCATTGAATGTTTGGATACTGTTTTTGAAATTTTTGTCCTTGGTCTTCTAGATTTGTTTAAGAAGCACTTGTATCCTCTTGAACTTACTCATGAGTTACCGTCTGGAAATTCGATTAGGTTCTTAGACCTAACACTCTGTTTTAGGAGTAATCATTTCTGCTGGCTGTTTTCACCGAGAAGTGGTAAACCCCTTTTACCTTTCCACTCAGCTCATTCAAAATTGGTGAAAAGGGGTATCATTAAAAGTTGCCTGGTAAACGCTCGCAAGAGGTCACGCCCGCACTCGATGCAATGCAGTTTCAAAGCACAGGTAGAGCACCTCTTAAGGACTGGTTACTCGAGCGCCCTGATTTCAGCTGTTGCGGAAAAAATTTTGAAGCAAATTAAAAATAAAGGAGGGCAATCTCAGCCTCAAAGTGCGTCTATTCCCATGAAGTGTGTTGCAGTTCCTTATCTGCATAACGTGTCGCATCGGCTGAAAAAAATCGGTAAACGCGCTGGTGTCACCGTTGTTTTTTCCGCCCCAGAAAAGCTTGCAAAGCTTTGTAAGCTGTTGAATAATCCAGCCACTATTAGAGGAAGATGCACTGTGAAACACAGAACGCGCTTTGTACCTTGCGTTATTGGTGTCATATATCTCATTCCGCTTTCGTGCGGAATGGTATAAATAGGGCAAACCGGAAGGTGCCTTAATGACCGTTTAAGAGAGCACAATAACAATGTACACAACGTAGTTCAAGAACACCTCGGAATCCACTGCCGAGACTGCGGCTGCGTGCCAGTTTTTGAGCGTTGCGAGGTATTAAGCAAGCACAACTCACACGCCACGCGTGAGATAATTGAAGCTTATCAAATAAACAAGTTTGACGGTAAATGTCTAAGTTGCCGATCAGTTGCGTTGTTGCAAAAAGAGATTGCGTATCTCAATCTTTTTTAAGTTACATATATATTTATTTTCAGCCCATTCAACAAGAAACAACAGTTTTGCTGACATTGTATCACAGTGATTGTTCCTGCACCCTTCTACCCATGCCCAATTTTCTCATTTTTCGCCTATATACTACTCCGATAATAAATCTTTGTTGAAAGTCAGCGCTCTTTTCTGTCCTTGTTTTTTTTCGCTTCCCTAGTTACGGTGTAACAACTTCTAGGCTGCGCTGTTCCTGCATTCAGTGGGGTTTGTTAGTTTGGTCAACAGCGGCCCCACCCCCAGAGGCCGCCAGCCTCAGTTTTCCTGGCGTGGGCCAGGACATGGGACCTGTTTCGTACGCCAAAGAACGTGGCGAAAGGATTAAGCGAGCTGAGGCGCCGAGAAGGTGAGGGTGGCCGGTGTCTTTGTGCCGGAGGGAACGGCTGCTGCGCTGCTACGTATTGCTGAATCTCGCGAGGACGCTCTGCGTTGCTGGGTCGGTGTGCGTTAGGGTGAAACCCGTGAGGGCCCATACTACCATACACTAGCGGTACAGATGGCCCACTTCGCCGCAGTAGTAGCAAAGGGGCCTATTGTCTGAGGTTCGTCATACGTCAGATTTACAGGTGACTTCACGCGAAACGTTACACTGGAAAGTGCTCTCGTAGTTATTTGGAGGAGCGAATTGACGGGGCGATGGTGAAAAAGTAAAGGATGGCTGGCGCCCTGTAGAAGGTTGACGACTCCTGAATCCTTCGGCGTGAGACTGAGCAGCAGCTTCCGCACGCTCTGAGAGCAATGGTTGGGCCACATTCCTGAGTTCATCGCGAATGATGTCACCCAGAATCGTCACACTCGGGTGAGAAGTGGAACGAACTTTGCATGCTCCTCGCGGAGCATGCTCCACACAAGCTCGCGGAGTGCTGATAAGTCTTGTCCGGAGGTGAAATGTGACACTGCAGCGACAGAAGCTTGGCGGTCACACTGCTGAGAGCGTTGCTGAAGTGCTCGTTTTATGGTAGAAGCTTTAGCGATGAACTCATAGACAGTGGTTGGGGGCTTGCGCATTAGTCCAGCAAAAAGTTGCTCCTTGACACACCGCTGGAGGAGACAAACTTTTTTTGTTTTGTACATCCCTAGGTCCGCGATTTTGAACAAGCGTTACATGTCTTCGACAAACATAACCATGTTTTCATTTGGCTTATGAACCCGGATCTGCAGAGCCTGCTCGGCTTTTTCTTTCCTTGCGAAATTTCTGAATGCCTGGCATAGCTGTCGCTGAAATTTTTGCCAGCTGGTGATAGGCGGCTCATGGTTCTAATACCTGGTATGAGCATAGTCTTCAAGTGCAAAATAGACGTAGCGAAGCTTCTTGGTTTCATTCCATTCGTTGGCGGCTGCGCACCGGTCGAAGTGGTCTAGCCAGTCATCCACTTCCTCGAACACATCGTCATAAAACGGCTTCGGGACGTGTGCTGTGTAGACAACGCTTGTGGTGGATATGAGTTGGTCTACGTTGCTCTCTTGCGGCTGACTTGCCATTGTGTTTGTTATTAATTGCCAAACTCAAGGGACCAAATTAAGGAGCTAGGTCTAGCAAGCGGCTGCGAAGTGCGAGGTTTTTCTCCGGAATTGTTGAAATGGTGGCAGCAGCTTGAAACGGCTTGAGTTCAAACTCACGAATTTAAATTCTATTCAGCACCTCCGCCAGTTTTCCACGGTAATAAAATAAGTGCAAGTAACAGTGTTCAAAGCAGCGTCAATCGAGCAGCGCGATTTCGTCGTCGTCTTTTTCAAGCCCAAATTCTTCTTCATGCAGAAGTAATATTGAAACTAGCCACGCAACAGCCAGAAAAATCACTGCATGTCCGTGCCAATATATATAATCCTGACCGGCCTGAAGTGGCAGACCTATCTCGTTTGCTTCGACGACGTCGTGGTGTTTGCCTCAAACTTCGACGGACACTTCCACCGCCTTGAAGTTATACGACAAGCAATCAAGATTTCTTGACTCACCCTTATTTCAGAAAAGTGTCGCTTTGATTAGGAGAAGCTCTTTGGCATGTCAACAGCTGCCATCGCTGCGTTGCCACAGTTCACCAACAAGAAGACAGTAAGCTGAGTGCTCAACTTGTCCGCCTACAACAGACACTTTCTCGGGAAGTTTTCGCGTATAGTCGAGCCACTACCTCATCTTATGAAGATACACGTACAAATGAAGTGGGAACTGCGTAATCTGATTCTTATGCGTTTCGGCCAATATGCCGGTAACTAATTATACGTCCACGCAAGCGCCGTGCACAAAACTGACGGGTTAGAAAGAATTAGGTTTTGCTAGCCTGTCACTATGCGAGGTGGAAGCCAAATATTCCACAACAGAAAAGGAGTGCCGCGCCATTATCTAGACTACATCGAAGTTTCACCCCAATCTCTGTGACAGTTCCTTCAAAGTTGTGACGTGGCCACCACGCCTTGTTTTTGCGTGGTGGTCACCAGCTAAACACAAGTACCCTTGAGATCACCTCGCAAAGGGAAGCCTGAGCTTGAAAATTTAATATCTCCTATTTACTATAAGGTCAAAAGTGTCCTTCTAATCTCTGCACACTTTCTCATTGTAGTCACCTCATGAACCACTACTACCGCATTGTCCTTAGGCAAGTGCAGGTGTGGCAAGATACAAAACAAACCAGCGCTCGGTATTACGAATAAAACAGTAAATACAACAGTGCTTAGAAAAGCACACACCTGCCACAGATGCATTGAAATTCGCATGTTCGAGGGAACTAGCGTAGACATCCGTAAAACCCAGTCAGTCGTTTGCATTAAAGCCCGCGTTCTTTTCAGGAGGGAAGTCGTGGAGGTGACGCCAGAGTTCACGTAAGTTCAAATTCGCTTCTTTTTGTAACCGTTAGACCTGATGACGTGTGTTGTTATTTAAAGAAGATAGCTTTTCTTGGGTTAGTTGAACGCATATATTTCTGTCCGTCCGTCTGTCTGTCTTTGTGTATGCCATACGATTCAGCTACCAGGTGAAAGTTAAGCACTTGTTGAACGCCCAGCTCTCTTGAACTGGTGGTTGCGTTCAGGCTTGTGAATATTATCGACCAAAGAGCAAATAATACGCATATATGAGGTGCAACATCAATACGTAAGTGCTTGGTTTTGTGTATCTCTACTATGAAAAATGCATGGATGCGTGATTCAAAGATTCCAGTGTTTCCTGCGCTGCGCTGAAAGGGCCACGCCATGCACGAAAAAAGACAGCCGGCAGAAGACTATTGTTTTTCCAGAATATTTCCAGCGAGGCACGCATATGTGGTGTCAATTTTGGCACTCACATTCGTTGTGGTGACATAGAGACCACTATGTCATCAATAATGTGGAGTACAACCAGCTACTCGCGTTAGCCTCTGTTTAGTCGTCGTAGACGCATCCTTCTGTTGTTTTCTCTGATCAATCTCTAAACGAGTGGTACGAAGCTGTGGTTCAAGGAAATTGCAGTAAATGTCAAGACAACACATCTACACATATCACTTGTACACCGGCCTACGACTGAACAGGTATGCCGCAGAGCAGAAACAAGCCGGAGTGCCGATTGAAAGCAGGTGGCACTTTGACAACAATTCTGAGCTAGAGTGGGGCTTGTTAGAAGCCTACCGCGTACTGATGGGTAGTGGACAGATATGTTCTGTAAAAATTTCGTGGCTAACTGAATTAGCATGTGGTGGCGTCTCTCCACTTCGATAGATAAACAACCATCTAGAAGCTTGCTCTTACGCAACTATGCAAGGAATTGGAAATGCATCCTGTTTTCTATGATGGTTAAACTCTCAGAAAACGCTGATACGTATGCTAGCGTCGAACATGCACCTACAAAACTAGTCCCGATGTACAGTTCTTCTCACCTCCTCTTAGACCAAGTGCCGAAGAACCAGATTATGACATTCTATCATGTAGTTCGTCCGGGTCGTTGCTAGTGTTCCATTATTTTTTTTAAATGTTTACTAGGAGGCATATGCGCATAAAGAATTCGCCATAAGCGTAATTAAACAGGCGCTACACTCGGGTCTTCGATTTTCGTGTGTGTGGAAAAGGAATATATGCTTTCAACAATAAACTTGTTAACAGCATAGAGGGATACAAGGATGCTAACGAACAAACTTATTTATATTGCAAGTGCTCGTATAGTAATCATTAACCATGCCATGGAGTCATTTAGCACTCCCTTCCAATTTATGTTCTTTAACAATTTTGGTTCTTCGTTCAAACAGTTGGTGAGCGCTCCTGTGTATCGCTCTCATTATTATTACTTTGACTTAGAGAACTATTATCGTGTATTACGTGACATGCGTGTCCAAAGTTGTTAACTACGTCCCATTGCACTTCTCCCGCAGCTCGGTCACCAACAGTCGCGAGCGCTTCGTTGTGGTGGCGATGAGCGCCTTGCTCCTGCTCATCAGCTGCACGCTTTTTGCCGTCCTCTTCACGCTCCTCTCAGACGACAGTGAGTGCTCCTTTACTTTTGTGTGTGTGATGCTAACCTGCATAGTGACGCAGCAGTTTTCTATGTTTCTTATCAACTTTATAGTTTTTCTGAACGAGCAATCTAGGACTGCAATAAGGTAACCTCTAGGCGGCATCAAATCATAACCATTTTACAATGGTGCTCGATGTATGAGTGCAATGCTTCGTAAACAGGATGGGGCTCTTACACGGACGGTCACATTAAATATGAAATGAACTTTCGTAATAAAAAAACATCCCATAGTTTTTGTAAATCGCAAACAGTGTAGTCATAACCGCACAATGATACACTATGGCCAAAGTATTACAGTTCACCATAGGCTTAAGCAAATATGTACACAAAACCGGTCCGAAGGTGTAAGCGTATTAACGACCTTTGTTTTAACACCTACACGGACAAACGGTGCTGATAAGAGAGAAAGAGGGAGGGGGTAGTTTTAAAATTCATATTGTACGAAAGCAACCAACATCGGTAGCTGTGAATATGTAAAGAGAGATATTTAACGTCATTGTTTAAAATAGTGAAATCATAGAGGAAATAGAGCCCGCAATAAGCAGTGACCAGAAGACAAGATAGACATCCCGTGATTTCGCATTACGAGTGCGTCTACACTAACGAAATCATTTTCTTACCACTAACAAACTAACCAAATAGTTGCCAGTTTGCAATAACGTGGAAAGTGGCTGCTGGAACAGCATATTACCTCAGCTGTACTTTAATAGGCTGTAGTAGTTATAGAAAAGTATCTATCTATCTATCTGTCTGTCTATCTATCTATCTATCTATCTATCTATCTATCTATCTATCTATCTATCTATCTATCTATCTATCTATCTATCTATCTATCTATCTATCTATCTATCTATCTATCTATCTATCTATGTTATAGAAAAGTATCTATCCATCTATCTATCTCAATGTCTGGATGCTGTCCTGATCACCTGCATAACTTGAGGAAGGCCAATATTATGGCTGAAGGGTAAGAGGGTTTGACGATTATGTGTGACTGGACGCCAGTTGTCAAAACTACTTTGCAAGAAGACCGAAGCAAGTGTGTGACGGTTAAACGTCAATAATTGTTGAAGCGCTAGCCACTACACAAACAATACACAAGTACGTACTTCTATGATAGTCATCGCGTTGGCTTAATGTCAATTGTATTCCTAAACACCAACCTCTGTAGGGGCCTTACGTGCAACCATGGCCGCTCGACAAAAAACCTTGTTTTTTATCCAGCGGCCGTGGTACCACTATTGAGGGCAACTCTCCTATGGCGTCGACACAACATTCAGGTTACCGCTTCTGATGTTGAAATACCCCTGTTAAAATCGCGACGTAGCTGTATACAAAAAGTCGTATGTTCTATAAAACATACGACTGACTGTCCATAAGTCTGCTCGTACAGTTGCTCATGTGTCTAGCATCATTTCTTTATGTTTCGCTCAACTAAACTTACATCACAGGCACCATTGCTCTACATGACTCGCATAATATCAATTGAAATTTTATTTGGGAACTACCGAATTATTTTTACCTCATTACTATTTATTTATTGACAGTAGGTTGATATTTTTGGAAGTAGGATAACATGTGGTAGATATTTATTTATTCACAGTAAGTTGATATTCTTGCAAGTAGGGTAACATGTGATAGCATCAAACGCTCGTTTATAGTAAACTAATGCAATGCCTGCCAACGAAAAGAGATTGAGTACTTGTGTAGCACTACTTTCTTTTTTCTCCCCGCAGTCTTTTCGGTACCAACTGTAATAAGTAAGTATACAGGACTTTTTATCTAACTATTTCGGTATCCGTAAGTGATGAAAGGTTCATCCGATTGCCAACATTAAGTCTGCTTTATGCTACTGACGCCTGTGGTGCAACATCGGTTCACAAAGCCTACACGCAAGAACAGCATCAAGGGCTCGGGAGGAGCCCTTGAAGTGTTCTCGCTTTACTCCTAGTGGGAGACCTCGGCAGGCGCCTGCTTGCAATCAATGAAATTGCTTTTTCGTGGCATGCTTCTTTTTCAGGGATGTTACGACCATTTTTGACCTGTATATATGTTCGTAAAAGCCGTGCTTGCTAAACATTTATGCTGAATCTCGTTACAGGAACCTCAACTAAGTCCAAGGAGGCGATTTATGCTGCTTGCCGGGCGTTTAGTTTTGCAAGAGGCTGGTCGATTCGTGATACATAGGCGAATATCATGCATTCTTATTCTTAAAGAGCGAAAACACCTGACGTGTTATTCTGTGCAGTCATTTAGAATGGATACTAGACCAAAATGTTTTTAGAGAAACGAGTCCATTACTACGCAACCAAGTGTGCTCAGCCGCGTGGTGTACGACGACCCCAAGTCCTGCTCAAGGCTCTCTTGTGGTTTCGCCGAAACAGAAGCTGTTGGCAGACGATCACAAGGCCCTTCAAACATTATGGTAAGATGACTGGACAACTCTTGCTTTACTTGGTTTTCTTTTCAACAAATTGGAATCATCTTTGCGCCCACCTCCCCCACCTGATATCTTAAGTAGTTAACGTGTTATCGCAATACCTCTGGAGTCGACGTTCTGTGAGAACATCAAAGTAGCGTCATGATGAACTCGCAAATAGTGCCAGCATATGACGTCATGATGACGTCTAATACCACGTTTCTTGTGATTGCGTAGTAATTTTGGACCATTTTATCTTTTTTGCAGAATCTTGCTTAGATTTTGACGAAAGATGTGAGCCTTTGGCCTAATATGTGAGCGACTGTATTTTGGAAGCTATTGCGCCAGTATTTCACGGCACAGGTTAGGGTGACATTAGGTAACATATTACCTATTTTCGCAACTTGTGTGATATTTTTTACGCGGGTACTTTTCTTGAACAGCATTTTTTGTGGCTCAAAACCACTGTTTCGAGAGCAAGTAGTAACTGAAATTGCACCCTAGGGACATCCTCGTGTACGCTTGGTGCTTACGGTGTATTTTCTAAAAAAAACATACCTAACATACGAAAGCTTTAATGTTTAATAAGAAAAAAATCGGCTGTGTATGGGAAATTGTCAGGTAGCTTCTATAAGGCAGTATGAAGACACTGTGAGCGTTTATATTCGCAATTTGTTTTTGAAGAAAATCGCTTCAGTTCAGTTCAGTTTCATTTTCTTAAGGACCACCAATCAGGGGATGTTACATAAGCGGTGGGATTACAAGAAAAAAATCTAACAGTGATCTAACAGTGATGACTCAATTGACACCGCAGATTAGCAGTGATGTGGTCTTGAAAAGCACTGTCACCTCCTAGCTTCATTACACCTTGTTTTGGCCATTATTGTTGTTGAGTTTAGATGCTGAAAGCTAGTGCGAATTGCGCTGCAACCCATACAGTTCTCTGTGAATGAATGTCGGTGGCGTGCTGAGTGTTGAAGGCTCAACCAGCGAGCTCTTACCGGTAAACCTCTTAGCCTTTTGGGCGTCGTTAAAGTGAATAACGTGCGTGGTGACAACGGGTGTGCTCTAGTGGACATGACTATAATTTGTGATGCAATCATACTTAATAGCACATGCAAACTGCCTGGTGCAAGTGTGGAGTTATGAAAATTGCGTCGCACAGTCTTTGTTCTTTTTGTATTGTTTCAAAGCCGGAAGGATTGCGACATTGGATATTGTTCTTGCATTTAATGATGACAGTCTGTCACACGAGCCAAAATTCTCAAATGATTAAATTGGAAGCCTGGACAAAATCAGTTATCTATCAGCCGCCTATGAATTCTAACAATCCTAGCCGTTTCGATAATAGGATCTATGCTAAAATTGGTATGGCATAACATGACTGTAAGACGAAAAGAATTGACTAGTCAAAGCTTAAAATATCATGGCATGTATGTCTTGAAAGTCAATATTTACATGTCATTGTCTTTCTGCTCTTGCGGTGGTTTCGTTCACATGATATATTTGAAAACTAGTATGAAATGACATGACTGCATGGCGAACATACGTGACAGGCCCTAACGTGGAAATCATGACATACATGTCATCTAAGATCATGACTACATGCCACGCTTATGATGCGCTCGCGGTCATTTCGCTAGCTTCACATTGACCAAATTTGGTATTACGTGACCTGAATAGATGACGAAGGTAAAGACCGGTGCGAACAGGATAATCATGCTATGCGCGTCATTCAAGAAGATCACTACATGCCACCTTCATGGACGCTCGCGGCCGTTTCGCTAGCTTCACATATACCAAATTTGGTATATTACGTGACGCTAACGGACGACGATGCTATACGACTGTTTTACCTGGTATTCTACATAAGTGGCTACAGCTACTGAAACAGAAATAAATGATGCACGTTACAGATTTTCTGTCACAAATTTTGATAAAAATTAACTTGAAAGTAGGGTCCTGGGGCTTAAACTTCGCCAAAATTTTAATATTAGTCTGATTTTAGTAGTTCTGCTTCAGTTTAAAGCGGAAAGCTTCAAAGAAAAATATATGAGAATATGTGACTATGGCGTTAGGTAACTGAAAAACGACACGTTAAAATGAGCAGCAGTATCTTTTATGATCAGCAGTGGACTAGGAGCTGCTAATGCCGCAGTTGCAGCCATGTCTTGCAAACTATACTGCATTGACTTCTTGGGCAAATTTATAAATATTCACCGTGCCCTTGGAGTGTCGCGCCGCCAAGTGGAATTCGGGAGCGTCCTCTCAAAGATGGTCAGTAAGCAGCCGCTCCACTCGTTTGGTTGTGCTAGCCTCAGTGTTATCCACTTCGCAAGAAACTACCACTACCATTTTGCCCGTTTGCTGCGTCAGTGATCAAACTGGAGCTTCCCTGAGATCAAGTTCTTTTATCCTTGCGACACGAGAAGTTTTCGTGAAAATTCGTGGCAACTCGCGCTTTCGATTATAGCCCGCAGACTACACATATCGAATTTGCAAGGTTTACTGTTGCCACGTACGTTTTAAATGTTATTGTCGGACCCTTTCAATTAAAACTCGTGTTTTAATTGCATACAGCATTCGTCAGTGCTACTGTAGTGCAAAAATTCCGTAACATAGTAAGCGGAAGGTCGCTCGGGCCCACGATTTGCTCTTCTATAACTGAGCAATCATAAATAGGCCAACTCTGTGCCACTCGTTTTCGCACGTTCGTTCATGCAGATGACAGCGCACTGCAAGCGATTTGCTTGTTTCACGAGTTTCAGGGCGAAATCAGCGAAATCAGCGAAATGGTCTCCGTATGCAGATAAATTAGGTGACGCAATGTTGCTGGTTTTGAAGTCGTTCGGCGGGGGTAATTCCTCAGATTGCTTACAGCAGTGATGCCGAAAGGAAGCATCCTGAGGACAAGTATTTTCCGCTGGACGTAGAAGGCTTTGAACAACGTTACCAGAATAAACATAGTTTCGAAGCACCGGCGAAGAAGTTGGGTGCGTGGTGGTCCCAAGAACTAGTGCCGCTATAGTCGGACCTAACTGCCGCAGCCGGCGCATATTGTGATCAGCTCTTAAAAGCGGCATTGCTTGTATACTATTCATTCGCTTACAAGCCGTGCCATGGCTGAAACGTTAGGCATAGAAGTATTGCTCCTCGTACGTGTACCCAATTTTTTATACTCACCAGACCTGAACGTTCGTGCTGAATAATTAGGAATATAGGTTCTGGAAACGTATCGACGAAGAGCATCGTGTCAAAATTCTCGAAAAGACACACATCCGCTGCGTTATCGGGCGGTTCCGATACAAAGTATCTTCACTAGCATTTCGACCCGCTCCTCGATTGCGTTCGTCACTCACGGTGGTACATTCATCAACAACATGCATTCGTTGTTGGTTTTCGTCCCACAATCAACAGAAACCATGGTCCTTCATGTGGGCACAAATGATTTGAATTTAAGCTGAGGGCGTGTTGCTTTTGAAAAATGCAGGCATGTGCTCGGCTTCGTCCCCAGCACCATCTAGGTATAAATAAAATTACGCAAGTCTGATTCTACCGAGATCCACGAATCATCGTCGAGGTAGCTTAAACCTACCATTGGTTCGCCACTGTCATGTCCAGCAATTCTGGACATCAACAACTAGTGGCATTTGTTGGGTTGCCTGGTAAAAGGCGTTACTCAATGGGAGACCACCTTTAAACAATTATTGCTGCCGAACGCTTATGTATTAGCCTAAATCACTCCGTATATACAACATGGGCGTCATTCTGTCACAGTCCAATAAAGTTCGCTTTATTCACATGAAACTTCTGGGTTAAATAGCGACTTTCATGTGCTATGAAAGAGATACCACTGGAGGTAATTTCAAAGATTTATATAAAACCAATTAGCCTTCATCTGCTCAAATTACTGAAGCTACATATTCTCGACGACTTTGTTTTCGTATCAGTGAACTTTGGTTGATATCGGCAGAGTTACTGCGATTCGACGGCCACCTAAAGAAACGTGTTTTTGACGTAAACTCACTTGCAGGGGCATACGCGCTCCGTATTGCTTTCGGTCACTCCAAAACGTAAAACATTTCGGAGCTCTAATATGTAAGGTTGTTTCTCTTGATGCTGGCCAACATGCGCAGGCTTTAATACTCTGTAGATCTTACGTTGACGATCAGCAATCACGCCTCTCAGGTCAAATAGAGTAAACGATCAAAGATAAGAATAGGTCTTCGTCATTAAAAGTAAGAGGTACCAATCGATAAGACGCATTCATATAAATTATTTTTTTTCTGAGACATAGGTAATTAATGGTACTCTTTAATGTAACAATTGATTGAAACGTTATGTGGGAAAGCTCTCAGCGTAGTAAGACATTATACAGTAACATTTTTGGGTAGTATTGCCGTGCACACCATTGATACTTCCTTACGGTCTCATGTAAGTAAACAGCAGTAGTGATTGTAATAACTACTTGGAATTGAATGGTATAAAAATATTATAAATGCTCTCTAAAACTATAAACACTTACATTGAAAGTTTGGTATGAGTTAATCAGATGATCAAATTGTGATGTATCAAATGAAAGTGGAGACAGGGAGGATAAATGCAGATTGAAGTATCGTGTGTTGATAATTAGTGATTTGGCGTAAGGTTTAATTGGTATGCTTCATTATCAAGATTATCAATTGCGCCCAGTACATTGCAACTGAGATTCACTCAAAGACATCCATGTGCATCTGAACCCTCATGGTATGACTAATCAGTTGTAATGATCGATTAATTTGTTTCAAGGTTAAAGTAGAAAACTTTTTCTAA